AGTAACATCTTTTTGCTGTTTCTCTCTCTGAAAACTTTTAGGATTTTCTCTTTATCTTTAGAGTTCCCGTATTTCACCAAGAAATGTGGACGTGAGGATCCTTTTCCAGTAAACTTGCTCACCACTAGGTGGCCCCTTTACATCAGAACACTTTAGCTTTTCTATAGCTGAATGTTTTCCAGTTGTTTCTTTGGTTATTTTCTTCCCTCCCTTTTTTTCTGTTTCTCGCATTATGGGATCCCTTTGAGATGGTTGTTGAACCTCTTGGATTTATCCTCCCTGTCTCTCTTAAGTTCTTCTAAAATAATCTCCTTGCTTTTGCTTTACTTTCTGGGAGCTTTCCTGGACTATCTTCCAGAGCACTGATTTTCCACTGTCTTCAAACTTTCTGTTAAATTTTTAAATCTTTGTCATGTTCCCCCCACCACTCCCCCCAAAAAACTATTGTTAGCTTTTTGACCTTTTTTACAGTCTTTCTTGTTTTAAGGACACAGCATCCATCTTTATTCTGAATGTACTAGTTAGGATTTTTCAGAATCTGCATTTCTACTAGATCCATAGGTGATATGCCCACTTGCAGGCTGTTCCTGGCAGATACTCACCTGGTGTAGTTTTGCTCTGAAGGGGCATCTTCCTGCAGTCTCTGGTGACCATGTCCCTGACCGGGAGTCCCCTTCTCAGCAGGACAAGTGGCTACCAGCACATCACGACTTCTCTGACTGGGTGTGGAGAAACTTCCTGCTTCAGAGAGCCACCCCCAGGGATTGAGAGGAGTGGCTACACAAAGGAGTTTAGCAAGGTCCACCCTTTTCCACTGGATTCTGAGCACAGTCATATTTAGCTTATGCTTTTTGATAAAATTTACCTATGATGAAACACACAGATCTCAAGGATACAGCTGGATGTTTTGACAAATGTATACACCTTTGTAACCAGTTCCCCCAACTAAGATATAAAACTTTCTCATACTCCCATAAGCTCCTTCCTGCCCATTCTCCACCTCCTGAGGCAACTACTGTTTCCATTTCTTTCACAATATTTTTCCTTGTTCATTTTTTTTCTTGAAGTATAGTTGACTTACAATATTATATTCATTTCAGGTGTACGATATAGTGACTTAATATTTTTATAGATTATACTCCATTTAAAATTATTATAAAATATTGGCTATATTCCCTGTGCTATAAAATATATGCTTGTAGCTTATTTATTTTATAAACTTAAATCCCCTACCTCTATCTTGCCCCTTGCCACTTCCCACACCCCACTGGTAACCACTAGTTTGTTTTCTATATTGTGAGTCTGTTTCTGTCTTGTTATATTCATTCATTTGTTCTATTTTTTAGATTCCACAGATAAGTGATAACATACAGTGTTTGTCTTTCTCTGTCTGACTTATTTTACTAAGCACAATATCCTCCAGGTCTAACATGTTGTTGCAAATGGCAAAATTTCATTCTTTTTTATGGCTGAGTAATATTGCATTGTATGTATGTATGTATATGTGTGTGTGTATGTATGTATGTATGTGTGTGTGTGTACATAAATGTCTATTTTAGGTCTTTTGCCCAGTTTTTAATCAGGTTTTTTTTTTTTTGCGGTATGCGGGCCTCTCACTGCCGTGGCCTCTCCCGTTGCGGAGCACAGGCTCCAGACGCTCCGGCTCAGCGGCCACGGCTCACGGGCCCAGCCGCTCCGCGGCATGTGGGATCTTCCCGGACCGGGACACGAACCCGTGTCCCCTACATCGGCAAGCGGACTCTCAACCACTGTGCCACCAGGGAAGCCCCAATCAGGTTTTTTTTTGATATGAGTTGTATGAGCTGTTTATATATTTCAGATATTAACCCCTTATCGGTCATATCATTTGCAAATATTTTCTCCCATTCAGTAGGTTGTCCTTTCATTTTGTTGATGGTTTTCTCTGCTGTGCAAAAGCTTTTAAGTTTAATTCTTATTTGTTTTTGCTTTCGTTTCCTTTGCCTTAGGAGACAGATCCAAAAAAAAAAATGTTGCTATGATTTATGTCATAGTGTTCTGCATGTTTTATGGTTTCCAGTCTTACATTTAGGTCTTTAATCTATTTTGAGTTTATTTTTGTATGTGGTGTGAGAAAATGTTCTAATTTCAGTTCCGAATGATAATCTTGCTGGATAGAGTATCCTAGATTGTAGGTTTTTCCCTTTCAGCTCTTTCAGTATATTATACCACTTCCCTTCTGGCCTGCAAAGTTTCTACAGAAAAATCAGCTGATAGCCTTATGGGGGGTTCCCTCGTGTGTGATTCTTTGTTTTTCTCTTGCTGCCTTTAGAATTTTCTCTTTAACTTTTGACATTTTAATTGTGATATATCTTGGTGTGGGTCTCTTTGGGATCATCTTATTTGGAACTCTCTGTGATTCCTGTACTGGATATCTTTTTCTTCAGGTTTGGGAAGTTTTCAGCCATAATTTCATCAAAAATTTTTTTTTTTACTCTTTTCCCTCTCTCTTTTCCTCCTGTGAATGTTAGTATGCTTGATCTTGTCCCAGAGTTCCCTTAAACTATTCTCATCTTTAAAAAATTTTCTTTTTGCTGTTCTGGCTGATTTCCATTTTTCTACCTTCCAGATCTCTTATGTGTTCTTCTGTATCACCTAGTCTGCTGTTAATTCCTTCTAGTGTATTTTTCATTTCAGTTATTTTATTCTTCAGCTCTGACTGGTTCTTTTTTTTATATATATACTTATTTATTTGTTTTTTTGGTTGTGTTGGGTCTTAGTTGCGGCATGCGGGATCTTCACTGAGGCATGAGGGATCTTTTGTTGTGGTGCGCCGTCTCTTTGTTGCAGCGCTCAGGCTTCTCTCTAGTTGTGGTGCACGGGTTTTCTCTCTCCAGTTGTGATGCGTGGGCTCCAGGGCACGTGGGCTCTGTAGTCTGCAGCACGCTGGCTCTCTCATTGAGGTGTGCGAGCTCAGTAGTTGTGGCACACGGGCTTAGTTGCCCCGTGGCATGTGGGATCTTAGTTACCCGACCAGGGATCAAACCCGTGTCCCCTGCATTGGAAGGCGGATTCTTTCCCACTGGACCACCAGGGAAGTCCCTGACTGGTTCTTTTTTATATTTTCTAGTTTCTTGTTAAAATTCTCACTGTGTTCATCTGTTCTTTCCCTGATTCAGTTAGCATTCTTGTTACAAAAGCTTTGAACTCTTTAACTGGTAAATTATCCCTGTATCATTAGTTGTTTTTTTCAGTTTAAAAATTTTTTTGGAGTATAGTTGATTTACAGTGTTGTGTTAGTTTCAGGTGTACAGCAAAGTGAATCAGTTATACATATACGTATGTACACTTTGTTTTCTTTTTAGATTCTTTTCCCATATAGGCCATTACGGAGTATTGAGTAGTTTCCTGTGCTACACAGCAGGCTTTTTTTTTTCTTATTCTTTCATTTGAAACAAATTCCTCTGTCTCTCATTTTGCTTAACTTTCTCTCTATGAAATTAGGTGAAACGGTTACCTATTCTGGTCTTGAAGAGGTGTCCTTGTGTGGGAGCATCCCTATGCAGACTACGTGTGCCCAGTGGCTTTGGTGGGAAAGCGGGATTTGAAATGAGCATGGGTCACGTCTTTCCCCAGGGTGTGCTGGCAGCTGTCACACACAGCTGGAGATGGGGCTGGGAGGTCGGAGGTGGAGCTGGAGATGAAGGAGCTAGAGCCAGAGCCTGGTGTGAGCCACTGCTTCTCCTCTGCTCAGTGGCTGACACCGCCCTATACAGGGTCAGGGAGGGTCCCAAGGTACTAGAGCAGAAGCCCTGAAGTTCAGGTTCCCTCTAAGTGCACACTCTCCTCCATCCCAGTATTGACACCTTCACTCCAGAGGGGAGGAGTGCTGAAGCAAGAGAGGCTGGAGCAGGCGCTCGTTGTGGACTGGGGCACACGCAGGGGCAGTTGTGGGAAACTGGCTAGAGCTCTGGGCAATTTCAATCTGCTTCCTCTGTCTTGCTCTCGGGAGTAAGTAAGCAGATGTATGCTCTTCACGAGCCGAGTCTAGGTTTCTTACACCCTTCCTGTTAGTCTCAGTAGTTTTCAAACCAGCTAAGGAGACTCCTGGTGTCAGAGTCCGGGGGTGGGGTGTTCCCATATGTGGTTTGAACTGCTCACTCCCCAGGGAGGATCTCTGAGCCTGTGTAATCCCCCTCCTCTTCTGTGTCCCCTCCCAGGGGTATAGGTCCCAACCTGTTCGCTTCTCTTCCCTTCTACCCAACTCTGTATGGATCTACCTTTACAGCTTTGGTTGTGTAAGAGTCTTTTTGCCAGTGTCCAACTTGTTTTCAGTGAGAATTGCTCCACCAGTAGATGTAGGTTTGATGTATTCCTAGGGGGAGGAGAGCTCAGCGTCCTCCTCCTCTGCCATCTTCATCTCCTTCCAGGCACTTGTGCTTTAGTTGTTTTCAAGTACTAAGAAATCAGGTTCTTTTTATGTTGACCTTGAAAATCTTATTTTTTGCTTGGTCTGGATTTCCTGACATTTTGACACCAGGAGAGCAAGACGACCTCCAGAGGTTTCTAACTGTTTTGTGCCAATGCCTCTTGCTTTCTATTTCCTGTCTGTGCAGAGACCCTGGAGAGTGATATGTCTGTTTTCCCCTGTTCTTGAAATGTATAGAAATGTAACATGAAAACGTCAATGTGAACAAAATGCAGCCTTTTCTTTTCCAGTCTCTCGTTTTCCTTTGGCCCCTTTGCCTGGTCGGTGTTGACAGCTGGTATCACCCACGCTTCTGTTCCCCCAAACCCTCCGTGCCCTGCGAACACCTCCAGAGGCCCCGCTCCAGCCTCGCCCTCTGCGCCAAAACCTTCAGCTACTCTTGTTGAATGAACAAAATAACGTTTACGTCAACTTTAAGCTTTTAAAATTCATTTAAGGAGAAATTTCTTTTCCAAGCAAAGGTAGAGTCGTTGAAATGGAAAAGAAGACCATTCTAGAGAAAAGACAAGTTAGACAGTGGAAACATGTTTTGCGGTAAGATACACGGCCACTTCCGACCCCAGGCGCCTCGGCCTCACTTCTTGCCGCCCTTGGCAGGTGACGGTGGTTGCGGCGGTACCGCTGCCCTCCCCTTGCCTGCTTCCCCTGGTTTTTCTCCTTTCTTTGGCTTTTCGCCCTCTTTATCCTTTCCTGGAGGAATCGGCACATGCATTTTGACCTTCTTGCCTTTGAAGTGTTTCTTTTGAAGACAAACATCTATTAAAGCAAAAAGTGCAGCCACACCGATAAGGATCTGGGAAACAAAAGAATCCTCGTTACTTGTGCTTTTCCTTCCAAAGCTGTCACAGTTCCTTCCCGGCTTGTGATTGTCCGTAGGTGCTGTTTAACCCCTCCCCTTGACCCCTCAAACTGCCAGACCCCAGAGAGACTTTGGGTTTGCCCCTCCCTGGCCTCAGCTCCCCGATTCTGATCCCCATCCCTGTAGCCGGTCACCTCACCACATTTTCTTTCTCTCTTTGGACCCCGCCTGGGTGGGGCCCTTCACTCTGGGGCCGGCAGGCAAGCTTCTGGGGGGAAGCTCTTAGCTGGGTGGGCTCCCTGGACATCATCTTCCTTTCAATGGCTTCTCCCCCGGAAACGTTGACCCAATTTACCTTTAAACTTTGCTTGGATCCTAAGATTTTGTGAAAAGAGACCCTTTTCCTTAGGGGGAAATAACCATTCTCCAAATGAGGTGATTTCTGAACAAGTAAACAGCCCAACATGAAAGACTCACCACGCCATAAATGTAGTGCATTGGCATGGTTTGCTGACTTTTCACGGCAAAGATGGCGGCCCCCACGAGGAAAGTACTGGAGAACAGGTCGTTGAGAAGGTCCTGAAAGCATGGGAGAGATGAGTCGGCCTTAGAGATGAGGCCCCGTCAACACCAGACCTGGCCTAGCTTCCTCCAAAGGGAATGGTTTTCAAACTTCTGCCTGATTTAAAAAATATATATAGGAAGATGAATATTTACTGGGCTAGGTGGACATATCTGTGGCCTACCAGCTGGACTCTTTGAGTTGAGACACAAAATCCAGGATGCTTAACTGCCTTTACGGGCTGCCTCGGCTACCATCCCGTCTGTGAAATCACACATTTGGTGGCTATGTTTTCCCCCCTTCCAGTGCCCACTTAAATAAATGCATGACTCTCTAACTAATTGATGTCCCGTTTGGGTACCACCCCACAACATCTTTCTACTCTGAAGGCCAGCTCCTCTTTCTGAATCCAGGGTGGGCTGTGTTGCTGGCAGGAGGTTCTGTTGGACTCTGGTCCTTCACTGGGAGCCTGGCAGCTGCCTCTTCCCCCCCTACTCATCCCTTCCCCCACCTTACTTCTTAGACACCGACCCCCCTCCCCCCCACCCCGCCTTTGCAAGGCCATGTCACTTCCTCCATCATCCACTCTCCTTCCCGTCCCTTGCGGCCACAGTCCTGCCCTAGCTCCATATTCGTTTCCCTTACCCTATACTGACAAGGTCCAGATGTTCCCAGACTGGGCAAAAGGGCTGCCTCCCATGCTGCCTTCCCCTCAAATACCACCCACTGTCACTCCCTGGCACAGCCAAACTTAACTCAAAGTTGGCCAAACCATGGCCACAGCAAGCCGGCTTCCTCCCCCATCACTCCTGGGGTGATGCTGGCCCAGAGCTTGCGTATCCTCTTAATCCCATGGGCAGCAGCTGACCCTGCAGTGCTGGGTGACGCCCATCTTTCCCCTTGATTTCTCTGATGCCATTTTCTGGGGGTTGTACTTCCCTGGCCACTTTGTCTCAGGCCTTTTCTTTTCCTCCTCATTTTGGATTTTAACACACTTCATACAGAAAATAATAGAACATCCCATCCCCAATCCCACCTCCACCAGCCGTGACCCACTGAGATTAAACAGATGTTAATGTCTTGCAGTATTTGCTTCAGGGCTCTCAAAACAAAAACAAACCATAAACAAAAAAACTTTGTGGAATGAGCTACAGTCTTACCATTCCATCCCTTTCCCTGCCTTCTGCATGTGTTCCAAGTCTATGGGTAGTCTTCCCAAGTGCACAGTAGTATTTTCCTCCATATTATATATTCATAAACAATATATACTATTTTGTGTTTCAAAAATTTAAATAAAAAGATATATCTTATAGCACGTGCTTTTTAAACTTTTTAAACTTAAAAAAACCTTTTTTTGAGATTTACCCATTTTAAGAAATATATGAGATTGAGATTAATGAGATTGAATTCATTGATTTTAGCTGATGTATGAATAAACCAAACTGGAGACATTAGGGTGTTTCTCCCTTTTAGGAAATTATTATTGCCAACTGTGCCTGCAGTGAACACTCTTGTCTGTGCCTCCCATGCACATCTTTTCCTTGTTGAGGTATTGCCAAGTTTCTCTCTAAAGGGCTTGTGCCAGTGTCCACTCATGCCCGCAAAGGTATAGGGGCTCCTGTTTCCCATGTCCTTGCCAAAGCCCAGGATTACCATGCTTATTTATTTCTGCCCATCTGGTGAATCGAAATGGCACCTCATTGTTGTTTTAATTTTCTGATCGCTGGTTACTAATGAAGCATTTTTAAAAACATGTTTTAGGCAGTTGGGTTTCCTGTCTATTCATATCCCTTACCCCATTTTTCTATTGGCTTGTTTTAAAAATTTTGTTTATGATGTCTTCTGTTGTAAAGTTTTAATTTTAATGGTATGCATAGTTTCTCTTTCTCTCTTTCTCATGGTCCCAAGAACATTTATTAAATACTCCATTCAGCTGTGTTATGCCACCTCTGTCATATGCCAAGTTGCCATATGTATGTAGGTCTATTTCTGGGTTCTCTTTTTTATTCCTGTATTAGTCTGCTCAGGCTGCCATAACAAAATGCCACAGACTGCGTGGCTTAAACAACAGACATTTATTTTCCCACAGTTCTGGAAGCCAGAAGTCCATGATCAAGGCGCCAGCAAATTCAGCTTCTGGCGAGGACTCTCTTCCTGGTTTGCCTGGCTGCCTTCTCACCATTTTCTCATATGGCCTTTCCATGGAGAGGAGGTAGGGGGAGGGATAGGGGAGAGGAAGGGGGAGGGAGGTCTCTGTTGTCTTTTTTTATAGGGACATTAATCCTATCAGACCCTTAGGATCTCATTTAATCTTAATTACCACTTAATTACCACTCTGGAGGCCCCATAGGCAAGTATAGCCACACTGGGGATTAGGATTTCAGCATATGAATTTTGGGGGTACACAGTCCATTAGTCTTTGTCAACCCCTGAGCTAGTACCAAAGCTTTATAGTAATTACAATATGTCGTTGGGTGAGTCCATCCTTATAATTCTTTTCATTCTTCCATAAGAATTTTATTTATTTTAAAAATACATTTATTTATTTATTTTTAGCTGTGTTGGGTCTTCGTTTCTGTGCGAGGGCTTTCTCTAGTTGCGGTGAGCGGGGTCCATTCTTCATCGCGGTGCGCGGGCCTCTCACTATGGCGGCCTCTCTTGTTGCGGAGCACAGGCTCCAGACGCGCAGGCTCAGTAGTTGTGGCTCACGGGTCCAGTTGCTCCGCGGCATGTGGGATCTTCCCAGACCAGGGCTCGAACCCATGTCCCCTGCATTGGCAGGCAGATTCTCAGCCACTGTGCCACCAGGGAAGCCCCATAAGAATTTTAGAATCACCTTGCAAAGTTCCACAAACAACCTCTGTTATAAAATTTCATTTAATGTGGAGATTGCTTGGGAATGAAATTGACATCTTTATGACAGTAGCTCTTCACATCTGTGAATGTGGTATATTTCTTCTCTTACTTAGATTTTTCTTCTATGTCCATTAACAAAATGTCATAATCTCTATGTAAAGTTTTACAATCTTTGAACGGGTGTATTCTCAGACACCTGTATTTCTGTTGCTGTTTTAAATGGTTTCTTTGAAAAGCCATATTTTCTCATTATTTGTTGCTGGTATTCAGGAACACTATTTTTGTTTTTTGTAACCTTGTGGAACTCAATCAGTTCTAGTAATTTGACTGTAGATTCTTAGATTCTCTGTGTAGAGAATCATATTATCAGGGAGTAATGCTAGTTTTTTTCTCCTTCCCAATCCATATACCCTTTGTTTTTCTTGTCACATTGTACTAAGATCTTTAGCACAATGTCAAATATAAGTGGGGATAATAGGCACCTCTAAGGAAACGCTTCTAACATTTTACCATGAAATGCAATGTTCATTTTAGGTTTGGGTGGTTTTCTGTTATTAAGTTAAGGAGGTTCCCTTTTTTCCTAGTTTGCCAAGAGTCTTCCAAAAATTAGTATTGAATATTACTAAATAGTTTTCCTACAGCTTATGAGATGATTAAATGGTTTTCTCCTTTAAATAAAAGATGGTGAATTATGTTAACAGAATTTTGAGACAAAACCACCTTTACATTCCTTGCAGATGCCCTGCTTGATCCTGATGCATTGCTTGCTTATATATTGCTTGATTTAGTTTGCTAGTATTTTATTGAGAATTTTTATGGCTGTATTCAAATAATATAGGCCTATAGTTTACTTTCCTTATTATGTCTGGTTTTAAGATCAAAGCTTTACCAGATGGTACAATATATTATAACCCCCCTTTTTTTAAGAGAAAAAGGGACAGACAAGTGGAACTGAATATGAATCTAGAAATGAACTGCATATGGGATTTTATTCTTTTATTTTTTTTTGGCCACACGACGTGGCATGGGGGATTTTAGTTCTCCAACCAGGGATCAAACCAGTGCCCCCTGCAGTGGAAGCGTGGATTCTTAACCACTGGACTGCCAAGGAAGTCCCACGTATGGGATATTAGCATTTAACAAAAATGCCATTTCAAATCAGTGGGGGGAAGTTGTACTATTCAGTAAATGAATAAACTGAGTGATAGGGTGGAACAGCTGGAGAGCCATCAGGATACAAAGCTGGAGCCATGGTTCACACCATATACCAAAATGACTCCAAATAAAAGATTTAAATGTAAAAAATGAAACAAGTGCCAGATGAAAACATGGATGGATTATTTTATACCCTGTTTTTCTATTTCTTTTTGAGTCAATTTTTGTACATCATATGTTTTTCTGGGATATTATCATATTATAATTTATTGGCATAAAAGTTCGTATTTTCCCTGTGATCTTTAAAACCTCTTCTTTATACTAATATTTTTCTTTGTTCTCTTTTTTTCTTATGGTTTATCTACTTTATTAGTCTTTTCAAAGAATTAGATTTTGGTTTTATTAGTCATCACTATGAATCTTTGTTTCCTATTTTATTAATTTTAACTCTTTGACATTGCTTTCTTAATTCCTTTTTTTTGTTGTTTTGTTTTGTTTTGGTACCTCTTTTTTAAAAAAATTTATTTATTTTTTTATACAGCAGGTTCTTATTAGTTATCCATTTTAGACTTATTAGTGTATACATGTCAATCCCAATCTCCCAATTCATCCCACCACCATCACCACCCCAAGGCCCCTCCTCGCCCCACTTTCCCCCCTTGGTGTCCATACATTTGTTCTCTACATCTGTGTCTCAATTTCTGCCCTGCAAACTGGTTCATCTGTACCATTTTTCTAGGTTCCATGTATATGTGTTAATATACGATATTTGTTTTACTCTTTCTGACTTATTTCACTCTGTATGACAGTCTCTAGGTCCATCCACGTCTCTACAAATGACCCAATTTCCCTGTAATAAATTGGCTGAGTAATATTCCATTGTATATATGTACCACATCTTCTTTATCCATTCGTCTGTCGATGGACATTTAGGTTGCTTCCATGTTCTGGCTGTTGTAAATAGTGCTGCAATGAACTTTGGGGTGCATGTGTCTTTTTGAATTAT